GCAGCAAGGTTTATTGGCAGGAGCTGGCAATGCACACAGAGAGAAGCCCCAGACTTACCTGAAAGGAGAAAGTGGGCTGAGCTGCAGCTTGCTGCTTCCCATCTGAAAGGGACATGTGAGAGCCGCCTTCCCCCTCATGCCGGCACGGGCACAGCCCCTCAAACCAGCTTACCTCACCGCAAAAGATTGGAGCCAAATTAAACCCCTTCTTTTATAAATTGCTTTTGTCAGTTATTTTTTCACAACAATAAAAAAAAGTAACCATAACAGAAAACTGGTACAGAGGACTGCAGTCTTTATTGTGAGAAACTAGAGTGTGATATTGGCCTTATAAAACAGATTTATAACAGGGAAGTAGGAAATTTGGAGTTCTGGATGACAAAAATCCTACATCTATAAACACAGCTGAACAAACCATTTAGTGAGGCTGTTTGTGGCGTCACATCCCTCTCTGGGACAATTAGGAAGGACTATGATAAAGCAAAATTTTCATAGTAGGTAGAAGTTTGGGGGGCTTGCCAGGCAGTGATGGTGCATTCTTTAATCCCAGTACTCTGCAGAGGCAGAGGCAGGAGGATCTCTGAGTCTGAGACCAACCTCAGCTACAGAGTCCCAGACAGCCAGGGCTACATAGAGAAACTCTGTCTGGAAAAAAATAATTTGGGGGGGGGGGTGGAGTTCACATGGTTATATATTTCCATGGAAGGTCTAACTCAGTGGTTGTCAGCCTTCCTAATGCTGTGACCCTTTAATACGGTTCTTCAGGTTGTGGTGACCCCCAACCATAAAATTATTCTTGTTACTACTTCATAGCTGTAATTTTACTGTTATGAGACATGGTGTGAATATTTGTGTTTCCCGGTGGTCTCCGAAGGCCGGGACCCACATGTTGAGAAACACTAGTAACCGGTGCCACATGATAATGTATGTCTACCAGTTCTCTGTCATTCCTCTCAAGGGCCCAGGGGTGCGACAGCCAGAGTGGCTGGGCCTGGGCTCCATACAGGCTCCCTTACATGAGCTTCCACTCCCCAGGACATATCTGGACTGTGCCACCATCCCGTGGGATGAGAAGTGGCAGGATGCGGAAGCTGGCCATGGTGTGTCTCAGTAGGGAGCAGAAAGAGGACAAGAATGAGGACTTGGCTTAGACAGTCCAAGGCTTGGCCTTAGGAACATCAGTCTTCCAGCTAGATTTCACTCCTCGACCTTCTCTCATCTGAAGACCAAGTATCCAAACTCATGAGCCTGACCCTCATAGGGTCATGGCCATCCCATAATTTAAAGTGCACTTATTCAAACATCAAGGGTCCCATAGTTGACAATTCAACACTGTCCAAAAATTCAATGTTTCTTTTGAGACTCAATGCAATCTCTTTTTATTTTTTATGTCGCTTTCTTTTCCTTTATGTGTGTGAATGTTGGCCTGTGTGCGTGCGTGTGCACTACATGGGGTTCTGTTGGTCACCCCAGGACTGAAGATATGATGGTTATGAACCTCCATGTGGGTACTCTTAACCGCCAACTCTCCAACCCCTGTAGTACCGAAGCAAACGACACACTTCAGTGTCACATAGTACACAGTCACATTCCAAATGAAGAGACAAGAGCATGGGAAGGAAAGACAGGACTGAATCAAGAATCAAACCCTGGTGGTGGTGGTGGCGGCAGCGGTGGCCTTTAATCCCAGCGCTGGGGAGGCAGAGGCAGGTGGATCACTGAGTTGAAGGCTAGTCTGTTGTATAGAGTGAATTCAGGACAGCCAGAGAAACCCTGTGTCAAAACAAGAGCCTGCTGGTGGTGGTAGTGCATGTCTTTAATACCAGCACTAAGGAGGCAAAGGCAGGCAGACCTCTGTGAGTTCAAGGCCAGCCTGGTCTGCAGAGGGAGTTCTAGGACAGCCAGGGCCACACAGAGAAACCCTGTCTCGAAAAGCCAAAAAAACAAGTGTACAAAAAACAAACAAACAAAAAACTTCAAGCCCCAACCTCTCAAAAACAAACAAACAAACAAACAAACAAACAAACAAAAAACTTCAAGCCCCAACCTCTCAAAAACAAACAAAAACCAACCAAACATAAAGTCAAGCAGCTCCAATCCTGTGTCTGGGACTCATTTGTAAGCTAATGCTGTGGGCACTACTACCATCCAAGTCTGCTGCCCAGGCCGCACAGCTTCTCTTTCAGGCAGATTCACTCCAGGTCTCTCTCTTTCCTCAGCAGGTATCACACAGTCCCTGTATCTCCATCATCATGAGGTCATCGCTGAAAGCTGGATATCACCTTCCAAACTTCACTCAGTGGGTCTTAGGGCCTCCCTTTAGGGATCCCAATTGTGGATCTCATGGCCTGACCTAAGGAGCTCTCTGGAATCATGGTGCAAGACGCTACTGCTCTGATATTTTGCATGACTACAAGCCCAGGACTATGGGGATGATATTGTCAAGTTCTGAGGACAGCTTGAGATAGAACCTAGCCATCACGTTCAACTTTTACAATATCACTTTCTGTTGAGGCTGTCCTTTCTTGAGAAATCGTATTTTTGAAGGTTGTTATTGGGTGAGGCTGGTGTTCAGGGAACCTTTCCTATTGTCCTAAGGCAGGAAACTAGGTTTCTGTTTTTATGGGGCCAGCCTCCTTGGGGATCACAGCTGCTGTCTTGGCAGCTGCCTTGCCTGCAACCTTAGACTCATCCCCTTCCCAAGTAGTTCATGTTGCATGCCTTTCTGTCCCATCTGGTGCTCTTCTCTCACTATGTAAATTGACTAGAGCAGTGAACAGTGAGGATGACACAGAGCTCCATCCTGCCCTCGAAATTCTTCCACCAAACAAACAAGTGCAGCGCTTTGCAAATCCAGCCCCACTCATATTCTCACAGCACAGGCACAATGTGGCAAGATGTTTTCCCCCAGAACGTTCCAATTTTTGGTAGAAGAACTGAAATGTTTTATTAAGCCAGTTCAGGATATGAGTCCTCTAGCTGGCTGAACAAGAGCAGACTTATGTCTAGGAAAAGACTCTTGGTGCCGAAACAAAGTATGGTGGGATTTTCAAAGTCAAAAGGACTCATTATACCCTTAATTGCTTAATAAAGTTTTAGTTCTTTAGTTTCATTTTGACTTTGAAAACCTGATTATCAGGTGTAGGCTTTGATCATGTAAACCACCACACAGACCACTATTCTTCCTGAGGAACCATTTGCACACATCAGGGCCCTCTGTCAGCGGGGAGGTAGGACCCTTTTGCTATTGTAGAACACTTTATCAAAAAAGTAGGAAGACATTTGTGTACAGGCAAATGTGGCTCCAGACAGGCGGAGGTACAGGGTTAGGAGAACGTGGCCTTTCCTAAGCCATTTCGAGAGCTGTTTCTTCTCGAAACCTCATTGGTTATAAAGCTCACACCCACTCTGCCTGTGCATTCTCTCTGTTAAATCCCAACGGGAGCTGCCTGCTCCACTCTGCTTCTAGCACTGTAGGCTTTTCTATGATGATATTCTAAGCTCTTCCAAATTCCAAAACATGGCCCGTGCGTGTACGCACGTGTGTGCGCACACACACACACACACACACACACACACACACACACACACGCATGCACACGCGCGTGTGTGCGCTCATGCCCACACATGAAAAAACACATTATATTTTCAAAATACATCTTTAAAACTGCAGAATGACCACTAAGGAGGGCAGGATAGCCTGGAGGGAGGTGTAAAGGGCCTCTGAAAGGCTATCTATCATCTGAATTGATGTCCGTTAGATGGTACTTTTCTTCAGTGATCAGGATCAAGTTGTGCAGATGGGAATGGTCTGCTTACCGTCAACATTAATAACTCTCTATAAAAAAATTTTGCTATTACTTCAATCTCTGATAGCCTAGAAATTTTGATTACAGAGGGCAGGGATTGTCTATAAGGAGATACAAGTGACATTCATTGATCTAGAAACTAGTATTTCCCACTTCTGCCTTTGGGCTCTCCGTGCTCTGCAATTATTAGGCTAAGAAAGGGGTTACAGTGTTATCAGGGTGATTTATCCAGACTTTCAATGTATCTTGTTGTATCTTCTTCCAACTCCCCTCCCACACCCTCCAGGCGCCCCATCTGTCCCTCTCTCTGCTCCTGTACTGTCATTTTAATTTTCTCCCCCAGTCCAGTTACTACTGCTTGTTGAAATGCTGGCTGGTCCGCTGGCTTGCTCATGCACAGGTGACCTTAGCTGCAGTAGCTTCACCCTGCACTCTCCATGCCTCGTCCAGCCTTTTACAGCAATCCTCTTCAACCGCCACCCCTCAGTCCCAGCCGCTCAGCTGTTCAGTTACACACTATTATTTTATGTATATTGGTGATCTGCCCAGGTTTGCACACCACATGTGTGTTTGGTGCCCATGCAGGCCAGAAGGCATTGGATTCCTTGGAACTGGAGTCACAGAAGGTCATGAGCCTCTGTGTATGGATGCTGTGAACGAAACTTGGGTCCCCTGGAAGAGCAGGCAGTACTCTTAAACAATGAGGCATTTCTCCAAGCCCCTCAAACACATACTCTCACTTTTTTCTCTCCATTTTTACATGTGAAGGAGAGAACCAGAGGAAACACCAGAAAATTACAAGTTCACTAATGGCTGTTTAAGAAAATTTTTTCACTAGGCCATGTAGGCTCAGTCTGAGGCAGGATTATGAGTTTGAGGCTTCGGTACATTATACAGCAAGACCGTAACAAAAATGTTCTGGAGAAGCTGTGGCAAAGTGCCTTCCTGAGCTGTCGACACCGAACAATACTTTGTCTCTTTCAGAGGCCGGGTGCCTGGGTATCTCAGAGTTACAATTGGCTTTATACGGTCAACTATTTTCACTGGCCAGGGTCCTGGCCCAAGTAGCGGCAAGAGGAGTCGCTCCTGTCACTCAGCCCTGCACGGCAGCTCTAGCCAATCAGGGCCTCCAGCAGGTTGTCCAATCAGAAGCGTCTGGCGGCTGGGGGCGGGTTCTTTCAGGCCGCCATGCTAGCTAAGGGTTCTTCCCCAAGGTTGAGGAAGGCTGAGGTGGCCGCCGCTGCCGCGAGCTGCGAGGAGCGCGCGCGAGCTCGGAGGCCGCGCCACGGTGAGCGCGGGGCCGCTGTCCCCACACGGGAGGGAGCCGCCGGCGGGGCCGGGGCCGCCGTGCTGGGGCCGCCCCGGGGCGAGGGGCGCGCGCGGCCGGGGCTCTGCCCGCGAGCTGGGCCCCGGCGCGCGGCCTGTGGGGACTTCCGTCCGCCCGCGCCCTTCCCTTCCGCGCCGAGCGGGACGAAGTCGGCGCTCGGTGATGTCGCGGCGCGGCCGGGCGCGCAGCTCCTGCTCTCGGCGTCGCGCCGGCCGGCTGCTGGCTGGACTGGGGCTGGCGGGGTTCTTTGTGCTGCCTCGGAGAAGTTCTGGTCTTTGCACTCCACGTAGGTGTAGGAGCCACTTTGGGGTAATTTTGTGACATTTGGAAAGTCTGTCCAGTGAGTCTCTCCACGAAGGTGTTCAGAAGCAGCTCTGGAAAAGATGACGGTTTCCATTGAATTTATTTTGTCCCTCTGTCAGACATCCGTTGAGAATATTTTTGTCTTTATTTCTGTTTTTGTGTTTGTGGGTTTGTTCCCCCCCCCCCCCCGTGCATTGTTTTGAGTACTGAGGTTTGATGAGAAGTCTTTTGAAAGGAAGACGTGTTGCAGTTGGTTCTTCTGTATGTCGTTCACCATTCTGGCTCTTCATTTCCACACACCCGTTATAATCCGTGTCCCGTTTTTGTTTTTGGAAGTATGTTGAACTTAAGTTGAGAACTGACATTGAGATTTCCTATTATGAGCATGCTCTGCTAGAAATATAGGTGGACACATTGTATTCTCTGCGTCAGAATGGGTTTTTTGTTTTGTTTTGTTTTTTTTTTTTAATTTTTTTCCTGAGACAGGATCTCTCTGTAGCTCTGGCTGTCCCAGAACTCACTCTGTAGACCAGGCTGTTCTGGAACTCAGAGATCAGTCTGCTTTTGCCTCCCAAGTGCTAGGTTTAAAGGTGTGTGCCACCATTGTCCTGCTCAGAATATTTCTGAATAACGATAAATTCGAAAGGTTCAATGGTTTTGATGGCAGCAACTTGCTAGATACTTTTACCTACTTTGGTAATTGGGACAAGGCTAATAATACTTTTATCCCAGTATTAATTGTTAATATTAGTTCTCATATCGCACAGCACACAGTATATTTATGCACATATTTGGCTTATAGAATGAATAAGCCGGCAGACATTGGGCCTGGTTGATTTGAAACCTCATGGACAGGAGTTCCCTGCTTGTCCTCTCTTGACTTGGTAATAGGTTAGTTTTAGGTTAGTTTGGCGCCAGCCATCCTAGTGCTAGGTGTCTCTTTATGAGGCCAGCAAGGAGTTATACCCTTTCCTAGTCTGGCAAGTTCTTGGGCCTGGTTTTCCTGATAGCATTTTAATACACTCATATGTGTTCCTCTAGTCTCAACTCACGCTTAAACTTATCCGGTGGCTCCTTTTCTGTTCCTAGGAATAGCCATTTTTCAGTTCGTTATTTGGGTGACAGATAATATTGTTTGTGATTCTACTGAGGGGCTGTAGTTGTCCTGTTCTCTCAAAGTGGAGTCAAAAGCAGTCTGTTAGAGCAAGATGTTGCCTGGAAAGCCACTGTTTTTCACAATGTGGAGTAGGTAGGACAGGACACAGCCCACTGTGCCCTTCAACACTTCACATCCAGGATTCTGCAATAACATTCCTTTTATTTCTTTATTTTAAAAATGACTTATTTATTATGTGTAGTGTTCTGTCTACATGGACACCTGCAGGCCAGAAGAGGGCCCCAGACCCAGATCTCATTATAGATGGTTGTGAGCCACCATGTGGTTGCTGGGAAATTGAACTCAGCTAGTGCTCTTAACCACTGAGCCATCTCTCCAGTCCAAACATTCCCTTTATCAAGTTCATTGTTTTTATTAATCATTTGTCGTTTGAGGCTGGAGAGATGGCTTAATGGTTAAGATCACTGCTGCTGTTCTAGAGGGCTGGAGTTCAATTTCCAGGGAGGACATGGTGGCTTACACCCAGCTATAACTCCAGTCTGAGGGAATCTGAAGCCTCTTCTGGCCTTCATGGGTACCAGGCATGAATGTGGTGGGAGCAGAACACCCATACATGTAAAATACATAATTAGAAAAAGAAATTTGTAGTTAATGTCTGTAGGCTTCCCCTACCCCTTTTCTTTTCTTTTGAGACAAGGTCTAACTCTGTGACCTGTCTAACCTGGAACCCTGGAACTTTGTAGAACAGACTAGTCTCAAACTCACAGTAATCTTCCCCTCTGCCTTCCAAGTTTGTGCAACACTACACCCAGCATGTCTGTAATTCTTTGTTACATTTGTGTGTATTTCTTTCTGTTGACATTTATCTTTACTGGTATACCAGCAGGGTAGTGTTTTTATTTTCATATCCTATTGTTTATTGCCAAGTACAGGAATAGGATAGAATTGTTTATCCTGTATGTTTGCTATAGTATCTCATTAGTTTCTTGAATTTTTGGTTTTTGATAGTTTCTTTGGGCAAAAACAGTTCTTTATCTTTTCTGAAAAAGCTCCCTTTCCCTTTTGTTGATACACAGTTTTATTCCCCCCAAATATTTATATGATCATGATTTAAAAGCACTTTTATATTTTATTTCTATGAGTTGTTGCCTGCTTTTATCTGGGTATCATGAACGGTAATGGTGCCTATGGTGTTGGATCCCATGGAACTGGAGTTACAGATGGTTGTGAGCTACCTTGGTGCTGGGACTTGAACCTGGGTCTTCTGGAAGAACAGGCAGTGGTTTTAACTGCGGAGCTGTTTTTTTCACCCCTTGGTCATATGATTTTTGTTATTTACTTGCTAATGATAGATTACATTGATTTTTAACTGTTTTAGTGGGGGGCACATATTGGGACTTGAACTCTGGTACTGTGTGTGCTCTGCCACTGAGCTTCATCTACGCCTGCATTTTGAAGTTTTAATTGGATTTGCATACCTATCTTAATTTCCAGCTGGTTGGTTATGTAATTTTTTATTTGATTCAGTAGTAGTAGTAGTAGTAGTTGTTGTTGTTATTATTATTATTATTATTATTATTATTATTATTACTCGTGTGTGTAGGTAAGGGTGGCCTTGAATTCCTGACTCTCTTGCCACCTCCAAAGTGCTGGAATAGCAAATATAAGTCATAAGACTTTTTTTCCAAGACTTTTAAAATAACTTTTAATAAGCTGCTTCTTTAACAATTTCATTAGTATATAAAATTCATGCTGTGGCTCATACCTTCTAACCTCCCTCACATCCCAGTCCCATCTAATCCCTACAATTTCTTTTCAGTCACTTATGTCTCCTTTGTTAAATTTTGTATTGGAACCCACTGAATTAACCAGGATAATCTATGAATTTGAAACTATTCATGGGAGCTTCGTGGGCACCTCAGTGGTACCACAACTAAAGACAGTTATTTTTCCCTCAAATATGTCAGTGGTCAGTAATTCAAGGAAGAGTAGGCCCCTTCCTGACCTGGTTATTGACTGTTGATAGGTACTGTGTTTTGAGTTCCATTGGAAGTGATCACAACTACTATGAAGCCATGACAGCCTTGGCTCTGCTATGCCCAGCAGTCAGCAGTTTTCAGCCCTTCTCCTTCTCCTCTCCTGCGCTTATATATGTTTTTTGCCCCCTCCTCTGCTGTGATCCCTAAGAGGTAGTGGTATAAATGTCCTAGTCAGGGCTGGAGAAATGACTCAGAAGTTAAGAGCACTGGCTGATCTTCCAAAAGACCATCGTTCAGTTCCCAGCACCTACATGGAAGCTTCCAGCCCTTTGTAACCTCAGTTCCTCTTTTGGCCTCCTTGCACTGTATGAACATGTTGCACAGAAATACATGAAGGCATAACAGTCACACACATAAAATAAAAAATAAAATCTCAAAAGCAAAATTAAAAATACAATTTAAAGAATGTCTTATTTCGAGTTGAGTCTTAGCCATCACTTACTGTCAGCACTTTGAACAACCATGCATCCTGTGTTCACTGACATTCATTGTAAAAGGAGGCTTCTCTGATTAAGTTTAGGAGTAGCATTTGTTTATGGGTATGTACATAGATAGTTAGAAAGTAACCTGGCTCCAGGACAGTTTTCTGAACACTGTCAGTAAGTTCACTCTAGAGGCTAAGACCTTATCTATGGGTTCTTGGGCAGGTTTACAGTACCAGGTATGAATTCCTTCTTGTGAAACAGATCTCAAACTCAATCCGAGAGCACTGGATTATTCATCTAACAGTTTTTTTTTTTTAAGTTACATATGACCCAGTGTCTTAGGCACTGTTCTATTGCTGTGAAAAGACACATGACCATGAACTCAAAGCATTTAATTGGGACTTGCTTACAGTTTCAGAGGTTTAGCCTATAATTGTCATGGCAAGGAGCATGATGCCACACATGAGACTTGGTGCTGGAAAAGTAGCTGAGATGTCTACATCCAGATCTGTAGGAAGAGAGGCACTGGGCCAATCTCAGGCTTTTGAAACTTTAAAGCCTACCCACATTTTTCTCCAACAAATACAGACCTCCTAATCCATTTCAAGTAGTGCTATTCTTTGATGACTAAGCATTCAAATATATGAGCCTTTGGAGGCCATTCTTATTCAAGCCACCACATCCCACTATAACTTTCCTGGGCATAAACTCACAGGACTCTATATCATCCTACAGAGACACTTGCTCAACCATGTTCACCATTGCTGTATTCAAAATATCTAGAAAATAAGAACTGCCTAGATGTTCATCAATGATCAATGGATAGTGAAAATGTGGTATACATATACTTTTTGTGTGTACACGCACCTAATTTGTTTTTGTGGTAGGATGATGGCCTCATAGTTTAAATTCAGTATTTGCTTTTCTGAGAAAAGCAGATTTGTGTAAATCCGTCTTTGCATTTTTTAAGACAGGGTCTCTTAAACTTACTCTGTAGACCAGGATAGGCTTGAACTCAAGAGATTCTCTTGCCTGTTTCCTGAGTGATAGGATTAAAGGTGTGCATCCCTGCACTCAGCTTGGAGTAAATTCCTTCCTTCCTTCTTTTCTTCCTGCCTTTCTTCCTTCCTTCTTTATTTTTTATTTAATTTTCAGGTTTTTCATTTGTCATTTTACTTCTTGATTTTTTTTTTCAAGATTTATTTATTTATTTATTTTACAATGTCTGCCTATATGTTTCCCTGTACACCAGAAGAGGGCACCAAATCTCATCATAGATGATTGTAAGCCACCATGTGGATGCTGGGAATTGAACTCAGGACCTCTGGAAGAGCATCCAGTGCTCTTAACTTCTGAGCCATCTCTCCAGCCCTTCTTGATTTTTATGTCTATATTATTTGGTTTTCTTTTCATTGATACATTGTATAGTCTTTATGAATGAAACACTGAGCTATATGACAAGAGCTATGTGACACGTGAGAACATGGATAATAGAAAGATAAAGCTAGAGCCTAGTCATTGGCCTTCAGAGAGGCTCTTAGAAAGATTCATATTCCTGGTGATGCAGGTAAAGGATTGGTGGAAAAGCTGAGGACAATAAAAACAGAGCTGACCACTTTGAACATCAGATTGGAAACTTTCACCATATATGGCTTCAGTGAGCTTGGGCCTCAGAGTGCCCTTCTCAGTCGTGTGTGCGTGTGTGTGTGTGTGTGTGTGTGTGTGTGTGTGTGTGTGTGTGTGAGAATTTGGCTGGTAGTGTGATAGGGGAGGATGGCCAAGGTCAGTGTGGAAACCAGTAGTTAGAGAAAGTGCAGTTGCTGATGGTGGAGCCTGAGACACATGTAGTCAGAGGTTAGACTAGTGTGAGAGGAGCCTGTGGGCGGAGACAGACAGACCTGGGAGTTGGGAAGGAACCAGTGCTCAGTGGGAGTACAGGTCCTGAACATGGCTGCTTGCTCATGTGACGGTTGGTTGTGATCTTCCCTGTTGACTTGATTTGCTCAGCAATCAACTGAGAGGCCTGTCTCTGCAGGTCTACCAGGAAATTTCAGGCAAGTTTCACTGAGGCAAGAAGAGCGTATCCTAGAGTGGGTGGCCCTTTGAGTGGTGGCCTCAGTACAGAGAAGGCCACAGAAGAAGCAGTGTTGCTTCCCTGCCTGCCTTCACTTCCTGCAAGTGAGTGCGTCTGTCCTGTTGATGCTGCCGCTGCCACCATCCTTCACTGACGTTGAAGCCAGCTTTGGTCTTCCATTGTGGACTGAAGACCACTGAAGAAGGGGTCCAGGTGTCTTTCAGGCCTTTGGCACCAGATTGAAGCTCCAGCCTGTATCGACAGAGCCTCTCCACCATGGAGATGTCCATTGTTGGACTATCCAGGCCGGATCAGGTAAGCTGTAAATTAGATAAGGTAACTTATTAAATTTCCCTTGTTATTTGTTCTTTTAGTTTTATACTCAAGAGAACTCTGATTTAAAATCGCCCTTCTCTAATTTGTGTATTTTAAAAGTTTTTAAAACTTTTATTCTTTTATTGATTTTTTTTGGGGCGGGGGAATTTCATATCATGCAACCCAATTCTACTCATCTCCCCATTCCTCCATATCTGCCTCTGACCGTGCAACTTCCCTCCACTAAAGAAAAGGAACCAAAAATTAACCAAAACAGTCTCACTGTGGAAGCAATAGCGTATCACAATGTGTCACACAGTATACCCCTTTGTCCAAATAGCTTCACTTGGAAATGCTCGTTGCAGTGAATGACCTGGTTTGAGGTCTCTGCCCACTGCCACACTTTCAATACTGGATCCTCACCGGGCTTCCTCTTAGAGATCCTGTTGTTGCCCCATTTCATGGAGATTCTATAGCTTTAGTTCTGCAGGACTGGCTCCTTCACACAATCCAGCAGTTCTTAGATAAGGTAGTTAGTTGATGGAGTGGGCTAACTCAATGTCATGGAGCTGGGCCCAGGTTATAAGCTGAGTTGGTTTGCTTGCCAGTTTTCCCATCCTCATGCCCTAGGGTCTGGCTCATGTTCACATTCAACGCCCAGAGTCAGTTCTACTGTGCTCTCCAGGCAAGGTGTAGAGCCAGTTATCCCATATTGCCCAGGCAAGGGGTGGGACCAGCTCTTCTAAGCCCATGCCATCGCATGGCCAGTTAGGGATAGGGCCAGCTCTCCTGCACTCGTATTGTTGGGGCTAGCTTATCTGTATCCTTTCCACCAGGGCCAGCCCTACAGTGCTGCCCAGGCATGGAATGGAGGAGGGGGTCCACTTTTCTGAGTGCTGCAGCTGGTGACAGGCTGGGCCAGCTCTGCTCAACCCTCGGACATCTGCATGGCCGCAGGCAGCAGTCCAGAAAGGGCCGTCCACATGACCTTTGGACATTGACACAGACTCCTGCTGCTGCAGGGGCACAGACCCAGACATGGCCCTCGGCAGTAGCATGGGCTGGGACTTCACCATGGCCTCAGGTGGCAGAGCAGGCTACTCTGATCAGGCTGTTTCTCACCACCCTTGTGTTTTTAGTTCTGCTTCTCTTTCTCCCCCATCTTTCTATCACATACTTGCTCATTGCTGTGGTGCCTGCATACACTGTGTCAGGAATGACATCTTCTTTTGATAGGTAGGATGGTTAAATGCTTGTCCATCCCAAAGAGCCCGAAGGAAATAAATCCCTGGCCAAAGTTAAACACAGCCAAACTATAATTTAACATAGAGTCATCCAGTCTCATGATTAAACTGCCACAACCAACTAGAGTCATGAGGCAATGCTGGGTCTCCACTCTGCAGATACTGCTCTTCTTCCTGGGCTGGGATGCAGCTCTGGGAGACACAGCAACTCACCAGTGGTTGATTTTCTTGAAGAAGGTATAGGTCCACTGGAACTTGGGTTTGTTACTGGCTCTATTGATGCACAGTGTAATTCACCATTTCCCATGGAGCAAAAACAGCAGCTGCCTCATGTCTCTAGTTCTGCCTCTCCTCGGAGTGCACAAACTGCTGTTTCCTCTTCGTCTTCTGTTTCTCTATCAATTGCTTGCTCGATTCCTCCAGTGCTTGGTCCTTGCTGTGTTCAACTTTCTTAATTTTAAAAATTTATAGCTGGGTGTGGTGGTGCATGTTTATAATCCCAGCACTTGGGGAGGCAGAGGCAGGCAGATCTCTCTGAGTTCAAGGCCAGCCTGATCTACAAAGTGAGTCCAGGATAGTCAAGGCTATATAGAGGAACTCTGTCTCAGAAAATTAAAAAAAAAAAAAAAAAATTCATTTGCATTGGTGTTTTGCCTGCATGTATGTCTGTGTGAGGATTCAGATGCCCTGGAACTGGAATTACAGACAGTTGTGAACTGCCATGTGGGTGCTCAAAACCCTGGTCCTCTGGAAGAGCAGCAAGTGCTCTTAACTGCTCAGCCATCTCTCCAGCCCTGATCATTCTCTATTTTAGAGTTGACGTTCACTGCTGCAAAAAATGCTTTTTTTTTGTTTTTGTTTTGTTGTGTGTTTTTTTTTTTTTTTTTTTTTTTTTAATCATTGAAGGAAATAGAATAATAATCACTTAAAATTGTGTCCTTCAAATGGTGGCTTAGTACTATCTATAATGAGAGCTAGTGTCCTCTTCTGGCATGCAGGCACACATGCAAAGTACTGTATAAACAATCAAAATCATTAAAAAACAGTGTGCTTCATACCAACAAGAAAGATTACTAGAAATTTTGGCGAGTTCTGCCATATTTGCACATGGGAAATTCAGGTCCCCCTTAGGGTTTTTAGTCTTGTTACTAAGAATTTAAGGGGGTGGAAAGATGGCTCAGTGGTTAAGTGCAGAGGATGCAGGTTCAGTTCCCAGCACTTATGTGGTGGCTCACAACTATTGTAATTCTAGTTCCAAGAGATCCAGTGCCGGATTCTGACCTCTGTGGGTACTACATGTATGTGGTACACATGTATACATTCAACACTCACACATGCACACTAATTTTTTTTTTTTTTTAATTTAAGAACTGTCTCAAAAGGAAGCTTAAGAACAATTTTGTGAATTTAAAGGACATCCTCAGGACTGGCAAGCTTAAGTTCTGGCAGCTGCAGGGAAGAGGAGATGGATAAGAGAAGAAAAAAAACAAAACAAAAAACCCCCAAAAGAACCCCAAAAATGCCATTTGAGTTAAATTGGTGTAGTGGTCAGTCACGTGGCAGAATATCTCTTCATGCTCTCACTGAACTTGTGTGTATGGAATGGAAGTGTGGAAACCACAGAATTATGTGGCCATACTGTCAGATGTGCACAGATGTGTCATTCTCACCCACTCTCTTACATCCTAATATGGAATGTTTTAGGGTTTGGTGAGCTTTGAGGATCTGGCTGTGCACTTTACCCAGGAAGAGTGGGATTTGCTAGATCCTTCTCAGAAGAGTCTCTATGGAGATGTGATGCTGGAAACCTTCAGGAACTTCACTGCTATAGGTAAGACTAGCCACACCTTTAATCCCAGCACTCAGGAGGCAGAGGCCAGAGTGTCTACAGGAGTTTTAGGCCATCCTGGCTTACATAGTGAGCTCAAGGACAGTCAGGACTACATAGAAAGATCCTATCTCAAACAAAACTAAACAAAAGAGCAAAAAATGTCATCTTACCTTCACTCCATAAATTAGAGAACAAGTATTTCTTGTTATTGATGGTTGTTGTGATTTGGATGTGGAAAGGGAAAAATGTGCTGAAGAAGTTAGGTGTAGTTACAATGTACATTCTAATAATTCATCACACATTTTCTATGGCTATGTTTTAGGATATGAATGGGAAGATCAGAAAATTGAAGACCATTATGAAGATCCCGAAATAAATATAAGGTAATTTACAAGTGCAAACAAATTTTTTTTTCCCAAGACAGGGTTTCTCTGTATAGTATTGGCTCTCCTGGACTCACTTTATAGACAAGGCTGGCCTCAAACTCACTGAGATCCGCCTGCCTCTGCCTCCCAGAGTGCCGGGATTACAGATGTGCAGCACTGCACCTGGCTTTTTGAAAAATTTTTAGTATGCTGTAAAAATTTTGTTTTGAGATTCACATTTATTTATTTATTTTGAGCCAGGGTTTCTCCGTGTAGACTTGGCTGTCCTAGAACTCACTCTGTAGAGAGGCTGGCCTTGAACTCACAGAGATCTACCTGCCTCTGCCTCCTAAGTGCTGGGATTAAAGGTGTGTGCCTGGCAAGATTTATTTATTTTTATTGGGTATATTGTGTATGTCTGTGTACCATATGCATGCTGTGCCCTTGGAAGCCAGAAGAGGGCATCAGATCCTCTGGATTTACCCACAGTTGTTACCCACTGTGTTGATTCTGGGGACTGAATCAGAATTCTTTAGAAGAGCAGCCAGTTTTTTAATAACTGAGTCTTTAGTCTCTGTCATGAAAATTAGCAACAAACTAACAAAACAAATAAGTCTCACTTGAAAATCATTTATCAGTAGAAAAATCTTCACCATATATATATTATATTTTAGTCTTTCACTTGGAACAAGTTCTAGGACCCTGCATTAATAAGTGCTACCATTTTGTTTATAGCCTTATGGAAACCACATTGTAAAATCATCAGTTCACTTATTTTCAGACTTTTCCTGTAAAGGCACACATTTTGCTTGTTTTGGGTGGCAGGCTGTTCAAACAGTGCTGAAACAACTGTCATTGATAGGCTTGTCATTTCTCCCAGTAGTTACGTTTATGGATACTTGATGATACTGAAGGAGGTCGTCAGGGTGTAACAACTTTATCCATATACCAGTCTCAATGGGAGCAACATTGTGGGTGGAGAAATTTTCATGTGTCTTTCCTCTTTTAATAGGCACATCATATCTCACCCTGAATATACACAGTATGAACATGAGGAATATGAGCAGAAGCCACAGGACTCTAATTTTGTCACAAATATTGAAGACTACATGGGAACTCACACTGTGAATGGACCTTCTGAGTGTGAAGTATGTTTAAAATCTTATGGACTATATCACCTAACTTACAATGGACATCATAGCTATGACTACAGTGGACATCACAACTATGAATACAAGGAGTGTGAAGAAAGGAAACCTGTAAGAAAATGTTATGAATGTAACCAGTGTGGTAAGACTTTGAGTTCTTTCAATTCTCTTCAGAGACATCAGAAAATTCATATTGAAGAAAGACCATATAAGTGTCAACAGTGTAGTAAGGCCTTTAGATGTCTCAATGCCCTTCAGTCACATGAAAGAATTCATACTGGAGAAAAACCTTTTGAATGTAAAAACTGTGGTACAGCTTTTAGCAGACTTACTCACTTACGATTACATGAAAAAGTTCATACTGGAGAAAAACATTATGAATGCAAACAGTGTGATATAGTTTTCAAATCTCAGAGTACCTATCATAGACATAAGATAATGCATGGAGAGTCATTCTATAATTGTAAACAGTGTGGTAAGTCCTTCATTTATCCCTCTTTACTTCAAATGCACGAAAGAACTCACACTGGTGAAAAGCCTTATGAATGTAAACTCTGTGGTAAAACTTTTAGATATAATTCTTCCATACGATTACATGAAAGAACTCATACAGGAGAAAAACCCTATGAATGTAAACACTGTGGAAAAGCCTTTACACGTCAGAGTTATCTTCAGTTTCATGAAAGAAGCCACACAGGAGAGAAACCCTATGAATGTAAAGAATGTGGTAAAGCCTTTAGACATCACTCATACCTTCGATTACATGAAAGAAGACACACTGGGGAGAAACCGTATCAATGTGTACGGTGTGGCAGGTCCTTCAGCCGGCAGAGTTCCTTTAAGAGACACCAGTCCGTTCATGCTGTGGAAAGCCCCTATAAATGTCAACAGTATCTAATTCCATTATCCCTGTTTCCTTCAAATGCATGAAAAAACTTACACCAGCACCAGACCTTATACATATGAACAATGTGATAAAATTCTTATCCCTAGTCACAGAAAACACATGTAAGAACTCAAAGTAGTGATGAACCTAATGTAGTATATAGCCTTCAGGGGTCACAGGAACTATAGAACCCCACCACCTGGCAGCAGTTACCAAAGATGATATCTCCTGCCCTGCAGCTCCCATAAAAATTGGTGGAGGTCATGTGTCTCAGGGAGAAGGAATGCAGAAAAGAGGGACTGTGAGCCATAGTATTTAATTCTAGAGCCCTACAACCAAGAAAGGCGAGCACTTGGACGCTGGTGGACCATCTTGAGGTTATAGAAACTCTTCGGGCAAACAGTAAGTCATTCCCTAATAATCACTAGAAGATAGGTCTGCCCTTTAAATGACTCCATTTCTAATGAAAACCCATAGACTGAAAACATTTTTTTGAGACACATGCTTGGGTCTACTCCTATTCTGCGAATGTATTCTATGCTGTTACTCTCAAGTTGAATAAATCTATATATACTCCGAGTATTTTATTGTGTGTCTTACTCATTTTGTTGAAATAACCTGTATACCACATCCTAACCCCCATTCCCACTGCTGGTAACAGAAGGGTGTTTAGTTAGTTTGAGGGCTTTTAAAAATATTCCATTTATTGTTTGAGAATTTTGTATATGTATACAATGTGTTTTGGTTAACTCCTATCCTCACTCCATCTTCTCTTATGCCTCCCATACTCCCCCCCCCCTTTTTTTTTTTTTTTTAAATAAGGTCTTACTATGTATCTCTGGCCTGGGATTCATAGTGTAGAACAGGTTGGTTTTGAACTCAACAGAGATCCATTTGCTTTGGCCGAGATTAAAGGTATGTACTACCAGAGTCATCAGTGTACCTTTTTCTTTTCTGTTTTTGTTTTTTTTTTTTTTTTTGGTCCACTGAGTCCAATAAATGCTGTGTTTCCTTATTTCTGGGCCAAAGTACCCAACTCAAAGTAACAAATAGATTACTCCCTATTCCTACACCTTGCTATCAGTGTTGGCATTTCCACTCTTCCCAGAAGGAGTTAATTCCACGTGGTCTAAGGAAATTGCAAAGACGTTTTCTAAAGAAAATGCCAAATGAGACAATGCTGATGCAGACTCAAGCCATACCAAGACCTCAGAGGTAAGGCACACTGTGATCTGTGTGGTCCTGAAGACTTGGGTTTTCTGAGTCCTACAGAAACAGCTTTGCTAGTGAGAGCCTAGCAATAGTGGGCGGTGCCATGCCCCTTCTACTTTTGAACCCTGGACCCTTTACTCCATACATATTATATTATTGACACAACCAAAGGCTTGCAAGATGTAGGTGGGGGTGGTTCCCCCTATTCTCTCTGAGATGGATCTTGAAGAATGAGAGGTGATTGTTATAAACTTGTAATAATGGAATGAAAGTGGAGTGCATCTGTGCCTGAGCTCTATTCTGAAGACATGAAGAAATATTCAATATGCCTGTGATTCCTACTCTTGCTGTATTGATTTTGTTCCCCAAGCATGCCCTGATGGCCTCAATGGGTGGGGTGGGGGGTGGGAGGTAGAATGTGGGTGGGTGTTCTTTATGATTGGTTGGTTGGGAAGAAGAGGGATGAAGCCTCTTTATCTAGCATCTCAATGGTCTGCCATTCTGCAGTCTTGTCACAAGGCAGCTCCATAGGCTTTAGATTAGATTCATCTGAAAATTCTTCAGAATTCAAAGGATTGTCTAATTTTTGTTCTATTGTTTGATGGTTTTCTCATCCAGGTCAGCTTTATCCTGGTCTCTCTTAACGAGGATATATAATGTAATCTTTACTGAAAAAATAATTATTTGTATGCTGATAAGTGGAACAAAAGTACATGGAATCTAGATGCATTGTGTCATTGTATTTTCCATTTTTTAACACAGAAAATATTTTTCTTTTTAATCTCTAACTCTCTCCTTAAGAACTTCCCTACTATTATACCGAGTCTGTTAACTTTTCAGCTTTTCTCAGGTTGAGCACCATTTATAACTGTGGGCTTTTCCACCCAGTTTCTAAAATACCGATAATGACTATTATTTGTGAATAAATGCCTAGGCCATAAGCTTTGACGTATTCCCTGACTAGCTCATAACTCATTTATTCTACTTTATGTGTGCCACATGGCTGGTTACCTCTCCTCAGTTCATGTGTTCATGTTTCTCAGAGTCTGGGGTGAATCTCCCTCTAACCCTATCCCAGAATTCATCCCTCTCTGCTGGAACTCCCACTTTCTATTTCCTGCCTCCGCTAACAGCTAACAGGCCATTGGCTATGTATAGAGAGGTGATGCTTTCATGCAGTACATAAGAGATTCCCTTTACAGCTGGGTCCTGGTTTGTAGATGGTTCTGTACATTATACAAGCACTGTTCAGAAGTAGACAGCTGCAGCATTATGGTGTCTTTCTCGCACCTCTGAAGGAATGTCCTGAAGAGAAAACTTCACAGTGGGCAGAACTAAAGGTAGTATATGTGAGTGTACATTGTGCTTGGAAAAACAGCCAGATGTGAGATTATGCACAGACTCATCTCTAACTATTGGTTTGGCTGGATTGTCATGAACTTTGAAGTTGCATGATTGGAAGTTTGATAGGAAGACATTGGAAGGGTTCATGTAAACACTCACACATGGTTCTTTCAGCAGAGATGAGCTTAATGATCAAGAATAGGATAGCATGTTCTGAGGATAATGGACATTCCAGTGAGTATGTGTACAGCCTTGTCATAGTAGCAGAGTTAGAGGTTATGTGTATGCTCAACAACATAGACTTCTACTTCCTGTGGCTGACCTGGCTACAGTGCTCTACAGTATTGTATATACTGTCGACTTTCACCTACCTGTGCATATCTGTGTCTGCGAGTCCTGGGATCTGACGACCTGAAAGAATGAGGTGCAGGTAACCTCACTTCACTTTTAGTACTTTAAAAAAAATTTTTTTTTTATTTATTATGTATACAATGTTCTGTCTGTATGCCTGCATTCCAGAAGAGGGCACCAGATCTCTTTCGGGTTGCTGGGAATTGCACTCAAGACCTCTGGAAGAGTAGCCATTGCTCTTACCCTCTGAGGCATCTCTCCAGCCACCCCCCCCGCACCTTTTTTAAGATTTATTTTTTAGTGTACTTTTATCCAAGAATGAAACAAAGCAATGATCCAAGAAAGGATGCTTGAATTCAGAAAATCATGTAAATAAATGCCAGTAAGCACATACTAAATATTGACAGAATAGCTCTTTCCCAGAACTTTCTCAGGTCAGACCAATTTTAACAATCGTCTGGCACATGCTACAGATTATATCTGGGAAAGCATGAAAGCAGAACAAAAGGTCATATACAGATTCAGGGTACAGTGACCAGACTGGCATCTATAGCTATGCTCTGACATCAAGCAAGAATAAACATATCTTAATGTGAATGTTTCTTATAGGAGGTGTGAAATCAAGTACAAGAACAATCCAGGGAACAAAATGCACCTGAAGTAAAAGGTCTATTTTTTTTGGAGCCTCTTTCACAGTTCCTCAAGACATTGTTCACCATGCATCACTCTTTCGACCACTTTCCTACAGTATACCAACAGTAGAAGACAATGAGTCACCAATATGGCTCCATTCACCATGACCATGTCTTGTAGCAGGTGACCTACATTCTACTACTTTTGTCATGGAAGGTGTAGAGCTATCTTCACTGAAGATACTTAGATATGGATTTACTTTTCCTGTACATAATGCTTTCATCAAAACTATCCAAGAAGCTACAGAATGCCTTATCCTTCATCATGACCTTCCACAAAGCATCACTCATGACCAATAAACTCTTTACAGTCAAAGAAATGCTTCGGTGTGCTTGTGCTCATGGAGTTTAATTGTATTTCAGTGTTCTCTAGCATCTCGTAGCAGCTGGTGTTAGAGGACAGTGGAGTGGCCTCTTACAGATGCAGAGTTCTAACTGTGGGCATGAGCTGGTCTGGATTTGGGTGTCTAGATGGCTTTATATGTCAGTGTCCAGTATATGGTTGAGAGACCAAAAGATAAATTAGCAGCTATTATTAAGGCCTGAAGTAGGTAGGTAAAGAAGTACAGTAATGCCCTGAGGGGAAGGGCTGCCTCACTGCATTCTTTCCCCACCCACTAGAGATACAGTTGCTAGGAAACTGGACCATCCCCCTAGGGAGGGACACCAGCCAATCGATTCAAAATGTAGCATTTTGACCAGTAGATGCTTCCCAGGCAGGAATCACCCCTGCCTCGGGCATACTGGGATGGACTAGAATCTTTAAATGATCCAACTAACCTGGGCATGGGGCGCTCAGCTCCCACTGCTTCAGCGGTGGGGGTGTGTAGGCCCAAGCTGCAGCTTGTAATTTACAATAACAAGAACCTCATGTATTTACAGCGGAGTCTGTCTGTTGCTGGTCTTTTGGGGTTTGTGAACTGGACAGAACATGGTATGCTTCCTCCTGTAGACAGGATTCAGAGGCAGAAGGGGCACAGCACCACTCACCGTCACTATAGTCTCACCAGCAAAGCTGCTGTTCTGGAACTCCTGAGGCTGTATGCTCTGTGTGGTACAGAAGGATGGTTTCCAAAACAAAGAGTGCTTCTGTCAGGAAGTACAACCTGCATTCTGTTAACTGTGGTTCACCTTGGCTCCATTGGGTTCCCAATCACCAGACCTAAAAGGAATTAGAGTGTTACCAAGAGTTATTGATGTAGACTCCCAGGGAGAAATCTAATCCTACTCTCTAGTTCAAGCAGGGAAGAATGTGACTGTGACAGCTCAAGATCCTCAAAGGCTTTTCTTGGTGCTGCCATGTCCTTTGATTAAGGTCAGTCAGAAAGTACAAAAGCCCCAGCAAGGCAGGGTGATAAACATCCCAGACTCTTCAGAAGTTAATACGTGGGTCATTCCCTCAGAAATGAACCAAAACTTGAGTTTCAGAGGATACAATGTGGGTAGAAAAGGAAGTAGTTATAAATAGTATGTGTGGCAGTGTGATCCCTCATAGAAGGGAGGATTGCAATTACCTGTTTTGGACTCACGTAGACCACGAGTGCCTCGAACTCTGGTTGATCAGTCTGCATCTGTCTCCCTGAGTGCTGGGATTAAAGGTGTGCACCACAATGCCTTTGTCATTCTTTCTGTGCAAGTATTAGGGCTTGTATAACACTTTTCCTAGGTGAAACATTCCCTTCAGGAGAGAGGGGAGGCTCAGTAGACTCAGGAGGTAAATGTAGATAATTTAAAACTATGGTCTAATAATGTTATTAGCCCTATAATTATTGCGGTGGTATTATGTAACCTGCTATTATAATTAATAAAAGACACAGACACCTGATAGATTTTAGAATAGCCTTATTTCACCTGGGACATGGAAGGTAGTGCCTCTTAAGCTACCTTTACCTTCCAAGCCCTCATCCCACACCATCTGCTCTAATAATTTCCATCTGGGCTACTTCTATCTATGATCTCAAAATATTTGCTAATGTTTTT